AAGTTTATTAGGCTGAAAGTAGCAGGTTTCCACAAAAAACTTAACTTTACCTAAAAACAGCTGAAATTAGCTAAAATATGCTGAAAAGGTCGAAAAAGCTTGAATTAGCATAAGAAAGCCGAAAGAACACGTTTGCCTAATTAGACTGAAAGAAGCAGAATGAGCACAAAAAAGTGGAAATTATCTGGGAAAAAAAGAAATTAGCTAAAAAAAAAAAAGAAAAGATAAGCTAAAAAGTAGCTATAAAAGCAGACATAAGTTAAAATTACCATAAGTAAGCGCAGACAGCAAATATTCACTGAATCAGGCAGGAAAAAGTTTAAATTACTGCAAAAAAGTGGAATTAGCTATTAAAAAGCTAAAATTAGCAAAAAGACAGCTAAATAGTAGCTGAAATAATTGAAACCTGCAGAAATAAGCTAAACGACGCAAGTTTAAATTAGCAGAAATAAGTTGGAAGAAGCACAAAAATGTTCTAGTTAGCAGAACAAAGTGGAAAGGATCACAAAACAGCTGGAAAAAACAACTGAAATTAACTGAAAGTAGCTGAAAAAATGTTTAGAATAGCACAAGGAAGTTGAAAGAAGCTGAAGCAGAACAAAATGTGAAAGGAGCTGTAAAAGGTTGTAAACAGATGTAAAGATTTGAAGGATGTAAAATGAGCTCAGTTAATTTTCTATGAGACAAAAGTGGCTGAAAAGGCTAAATATTTCAAAAAGCTAAAGTTGCACCAATACCAAAAGTCAGCATTTTCCTGAACGAGCCTAACACTTTGATTTATGATTTCTTGAAATAGCACAAAAATTGTGGAACGAGGAAGATGGCGATAAATGTACCAGAAGAACAACGGTTCGCAGAATGCTTCATAAACGTTCACACAATTAAAACAAAACAAACAAAAGGCCTTAAAGCTCCTTAAAGGAATGCATATCGCCCGCTGCCTTTCATGCGCAGGTTGTCTCATGTTGAGGAGAGTTTAGTCGTTTTGGCCACATCTACATCCTCATGATATCAGCAGATGTCCTGCTCAGAGTACGTGTTGGGGATGACTCTCAGCTACCACCACATCAAATGGATTCTTTTTAATTCACCTTTCCTGCTTTGACTCCGTTTTTGTGAAATGCATGTTGCCAGAACACACTAAACCCGGGAGTTCTCGTTCAGCCGACATCGTCACTTAGATGATTTTTTTAAAATCAAGCTCTGATGAAACCAAGCTCTGATGGTTAAAACTTAAAAACAAATCACTCCTTCACTGAGTGGGATCCACTCAGCTGCGACAGCGTGTGAAACGTTCCGGTCCGAGCGTCTGCAGCGGCTCAGGCTATCTGCTGCAAACTTTAAGGCCTATCTGATGAGCCGGCAGTCGCCTGATGGGGGGGTGGGGGGGTCACTCACACTTTGATTGGCAGCTTCTGTCTCTTGTTGGGGATGAGTGGTGTCTCCTGTCAGCACGCTAAATTTGTCCCCGGTTAGAGGTGGTGAAACGTGTCGATGTTGCCCTGCAGAGGCTCGGCCTGCATTTCTTTCACTTCAACACCTGAAAGAAAAAACAACTTGAAAATCAAAGCGTTTTCAGACCCCTTTGTTTGGACTTCTTCCACCTTCTTGTCACCTTCAGGGTTTCTTACCGACGGAAGGAGGTTTGCTTCTGGTTTTCGTCCTCGCTGCTCGTTCTGAAATGTTCTCCGGCAGAGAAACAACCCTCGAGTGTAACTTCTGCAGCCCCAGGCTGAAAGAGACCATCTTTTTGTTTTCCACCAACCTGCTCGTCATAAACAGACAGATCCACCTCACCTTCACACTGGCCCATTATCACCCACTGGTTTATTATCACCCACTGGTTTATTATCACCCACTGGTTTATTATCACCCATCGCCAAAGGCTGTGCAGCGTTTAGATGTGGTTCAAGATGGCCGACTCTAACGCACCTCGTTTTACAGATACCGAGCCAACATTTGGTGTAGCAGTTTTTTCAACACATTTCCAGCGACCTACACGATTTACAGTATTTTTGCTTAAAACTGTGACATTACTTGTGGGGTTTGTTAGCAAAATATCTCATGAACCACATGGATGTTAATGAAACTTTAAAAAATAAGCATTTAAAACTGATTAACTCATGGAGTCAACCCAAGCCAAGATGGCCGCCACAGCTTATCAGCCTTCGCAAATACAAACATGGCTACGACTCAGGGGATTTTACAGATACTGAGCTAAATGTCAGGTGTGGTAGTAGCTGAGAGTCATCCCTCACTAATACAACAAGTGCTAATAGATCACGTGATTTCAGACAATGTTGTTTGTTTTACAGATTTTGACTAACATGCTGAGTATCTATCTATCTATCTATCTATCTATCTATCTATCTATCTATCTAT